TACAGTACTAAGACATAAGTCTGTTCGCGCTAAACGCACGGGCCCAACAACAACATGAGATCACAAGACGGATATCTTCTCCAACACCACACAACTCCATTAATATAATGTCTTTTGGCACTGAAATTTCGGGCAGTCGAATGCCCGGAGGTGAATTATCAGAAGCGCAACGCGTGTATATCTTAGCCCAGGCTGACGCTGATGTATCGACGCGCGAAATCAGTGAGACGCTCGGTTGTACACAACGCGCTGTACAGAAGATTATCGCGCGATGGAAATCGATTACCCACCACACCAGGAACGATCGTATGGGCCGCCCACCTATTTTGACTAGTAGAGATCATCGTCGGCTTCTTATTATCGTAAAGAGAGACCCTACAATCGAGTACAGCACTCTCCGTACGGCCGCGGGCCTTGACGGTGATGAGACGACACCACCAGTCTCATTTCGAACTATCGCCCGCGCACTTGCAAGTACAAACTACTCTAAGTATAGAGCCGCCCGGAGGCCAAAGATCAACGCAAATACTGCCAAACTTCGCTATAACTGGGCTCTACAATGGGCTAATTTCGACTGGGATCATACTACTCTAAAGTTCAGCGATGAGTGTAGTATTGCGCGTGGTTCTGGCCGCAATCCTCGCTGGGTTTGGCGTCTACCAACCGATAAGTGGAGGCATGAGATGGTAGAGGAGATAGGGACTAGCCGGCAGCCAGCTCGTATGGTTTGGGCTTCAATTTGGATGACTCCAGGGGGTGGTATTGGGCGTAGTCCTCTAGTAATCATGGCCCGCGACGCATCAGCAAGGCGCAACGGCTATACAAGCCTCAGCTACACCATGGCACTCGAGGAAGGACTCCGCAACAAATATAGACCAGGCGAGTTGTTTATGCAGGATAACGCACCAATACACACTGCCCATTGCTCGAGGGAGTGGCTAGAGCTTCACGGAGTTCATACAATCGATTGGCCACCATACTCACCCGATCTCAACCCGATAGAACACCTTTGGTGGGCTCTCAAAAAGCAACTCCATAAGCTTAAGCCTCACCTTGATAATATAGGAGACTCAGATAGTGAGTGGGTTGAGTTTGAATTGGGCTTGAAGGAGGCGTGGGCTGCCATACCCGAGAAACTGGTGCGCGACCTCATTACGTCTATGCCGCGCCGCATCAATGCAGTTCTTCAAGCAAAGGGGTACCAGACACGATATTAAGAGGATTGCGATTATTTCTGTCGTTTTAGATTTCTATTTAGAGCTACTTTGATGGAGTTGTGTTGAGATAAAATGTGTGAGATTTTCTGCGTTCGTGGCCCGTGCGCTACGGGCGAACAGACTTTTGGCGTGGCACTGTA